CTGTCAATAAACATCATATTAAAAACGGATTATAAAATGTTTTTCATTTTTTTTTTATGTTAGTTTGAAAAATGCCTAAAATTTAGGCTTCTAGACCAGAATACCCCCTTAATCTACAAACTTACAGGGCTATTAGAGATACATTGAGATTTAAAAGTTTTCGCGAATATTAGCTGTTTTATCAAAATTAAAAAAAAAACAATTGATTAACTAAAAAAAAAAATAAAAGTCACGTTTTTCGAAATTTTTCGAATTAATATCGAGAATTGAAAAAATTTTTTTTTTAAAGTTCACGATACATTCATGCATATAATTTATTCCAGTTTCTGAAACTACTCTTAAATGTTTTATAAAACCATTGGTTGCTGAGACACTGGTATTTAAGGACAAAAGGATTATTAATATCTCCCGAAAAAATTGAGGTAGAAATGAGTTTTAAATGTGACATCCAAGATCGACAAACAAACTATCATTTCCATATAATAGATCAGCAGGATAAAAATTTTCCAAGCCCGTAAATTAATTTGGTAAAAAGACTGTAGAAAATTTCTAAAATTTTTTTTTTGCGACATTCCTTAAAATTACGTAAGAACTGTAATTTGAAAAGCATTTTCAACGGGAAAATCTGAAAACTAGAATTTAATTATCGTCATGATAGTTTATACCGGGGGAATCTATCAGAAAATTGAGCACAACTAATTCTTGAGAAGGTCCTTAAGAGGTTTTAAACTTTTTAAGGTAAAAAAAAATATTTCTTATTGTCTTTAGCTTAGATATTTTATAGCTGATGAGTCTATATAAGTTTCAAAATCCCATGTTATGTTTGTTATTTATCTTGATAATACTCTTAACCCTAGACTGGTCACCAAACGCGACCTAACGACTTTGGTCGAGTGATGAGGGATTTGCCGCAATGCTTTTAGAGCGTACAGTGTTGCCAGTTCATACACGTTTGACAGGCAGAGACTAGAGGTGTTTTCGACAACGCCGCGGACAAAAAACTACGTACGACTCTGGTCAAGCGATGAGGAAAGCCCCGCAAATTTTTTTAAGAAATTTTTTTTCAGCAATTTAACATTTTCGAAGATGTTTAAAAAAATTATTAATATATTCTAAAATGTTCAAGGAACAAATTCAAATTTTTTTGAATAATTTTAGTAAATATTGAAGATGTAACAAACAAAATATAATTGAGCGCGGCGTCACGCTCATAGAGTGACCAGTCTAGGGTTAATTTTTAGCAGCCCCGATAACACGAAAAAATGATAAAATTTTGTCTTTAAACTTTGAAGATTAAAAAAACTTTGATAAAATAAACATAGTAAATATTTTTAAGATTCTATTTATTCAATCGAAATAACTTTTTTTTTTTTTGACTAATATTACAATTCCGCGAAAAAAATTACTTCTCGACATCTTTGTAATCATCAATAAGTGCTGCAATATTGTCTCTAGCCTCGACAAAAATTGATTCATCTAGTCCTTCATCCATAAAATGATGCACAAATGCACGTTTCTTGAACATTAGATCATATTTTCGCGCCAATCTCGACCAAGCGTGACGTATTGAGGTATTATTGCATAACATTGCTAATGATCTATCTGTTTTGCCTAAATCTCCACCCGGAACCGTTGTCGGTGGTTGATAATTTATTCCAACCTGAAAAAGTATCGCATTTCAAATCACTATTTTTCATTTTTAACTTCCCGCTAAAAATCTCAGATTTTCAAAAATCGGGAAGTTATTGTTTTCACCCCGTTTTACAAAAATCGAGTTTTCATCAGATCTCGACGTTTGAAGGTCACAGAAAGCTTCCCTGACTATTTTTACAATGATGTCCGTACGTCTGTATGTGTGTGTGTGTGTGTGTGTGTGTGTGTGTGTGTGTGTGTGTGTGTGTGTGTGTGTGTGTGTGTGTGTGTGTGTGTGTGTGTGTGTGTGTGTGTGTGTGTGTGTGTGTGTGTGTGTGTAAACCTCTTGTAACTTTTGAACGACTTAACCGATTTCATCGCGGTTGGTGTCATTCGAAAGGGCTTCACTAAACTTAGATTTCCTGAAAATTTGAACCGATTTGGACCGGTAAATTTCGAGAAAATGCAAAAAAAGTGAAAAAAAAGTATAAAAAAAAGGTTTTTTTTTTTTTACTAGAATTTAATTTTCGCGCGTAAGCGCGCGCCTTGACTATAGAGTTTGCATATATTTTCATGCTTATGATATATTCGACCAATCACGTTACGAATAGTTTGGGCCACATATATTTCATCTCAATTTTATTATAGGATTTTTTTTTAAATATCTCCGAATTGGCTGAACCGATCGGTCTCAAAAACTAATCAGCTCTTAACCTTGAAAACCCCTATCGATCGCCACCAAAAACGTTAGAATCGGTTGATGCGTTCGTGAGATATCGTTGTCGAAAAAAATCGAAAAAAGTGTTTTTTTGTAATAACTTCGAAACTCATGGCTCGATCGATTTAAACTTGAAAATTTTTCATGGAGCTTCGAAAACTGCGTCGATTGCCGCCAGCCGCGTGAAAATCGGTTCATTCATTCAAAAGTTATTGCCGTTTGAAAATTCAAAAAATTGTGTCTTTAAACTGTTATTAGAGTTTTGAGCTCGAAGAGCTCAAATTGACACAAAAATAATATTTTTGAGCTCGAAGAGCTCAAAAACGTAATATGTAGTTTGAAGCGTTCAAGTACAAAATGAGCGGGAAGTTGCAGGGATGGCCTGTAGGGTGAACCGTTTTTCTAATTTTTTTTTAAAAGAAAAGGTTAAAATTGAAATTGAAACAATGATTCAGACAGAGATGGTCTACAGAGTCAACCTTTTTTTAAATTATTATTTTAAAAACTTCATATTTTATTTAACGAAAATTACACTACTAAAAAAATTAACTTGGTTTAAGAAAAAAATTTTTGATCCATGAAAATCGTTTGGAGTTCGACTATAAGACGATAAATTCTTAAGTCAAGTATAAGTAATTTACTTAAATCAAGAAAAATTTCTTAGTTTAAAATTTGTATTGCTTTAATCAAAACGATTTTTTTTCCAGTGGAAGTAATAAGAAATATAGATGATTCTGTAGGTCGTATCTCAAAATTTTCTATTGATAGGAAGCTTCTTATAAATTTTAAAATAAAAAATTTATAGAATATTTATTACTAACCTTGAAACCAGTTGGGCTCCAATTAACAAATCGCACATCTTTTTTTTCTTTTAATAATTTAATCGATTGATTAACGTCATTTGGATTTATATTTCCACGGTATAACAGACAGCAACTCATGTAAGCACCATCTCGAGGATCACATTTCACCAACTGATAATTAAATATGAATAAAAGCTATTTTAAATGAAATATTCAATCATGCTATACTAAGGTGTCGCAAAACAAAATCGAATTAGTTTATCACGTTTTAAAAGCCCTCTTTAAGAATCAGCTAGATAAAAGAATTTTCTGCCCTCCGGCCGGAAAGTGGCAACTTTCTGGCCGCTGCGCTAAACAAAGTTGCCACATTCCGGCTACGTCGAGCAGAAAAATAGTATACACACCTTGGCCAGTAAAAAGTAAAGCCTCAGACCACATGTTTGTCAACCTCGGCTTCGCCTCGGCCAACAATTACATGTGGTCTGAGACTTTTCTTATTTTACTGGCCTAGGTATGTAATCTACTATTTTTAAGCGTCGCAAGACTTTTTAAACTTTCGAAGTGGTGTACTTGAAATGTTTTAGAAGTTGCATATATGCAGTATACTGAAGAATATAAATAAAGCACAAGCCATACATAAAAGACAGAAGAAAAATTATCATTACTTCGTTTTAATTAACAAATAATTATCCGGCATCCTTGAAAATAAGAAAAAACCTGTGCAATTTTAGAAATTAAAATTTCAACTTGAACTTTTCACAATCTACACTGAAAAAAAAAAAAATCGGTGCTGCAACAGGACAAAATCCTGTTGCTGCACCATGAAAATCCTGTGAGAGCTACAAAATAAAATGAGAAATTCTATAAATTAATTGTTATTTATAACGATTTTACACTGTATAAAATCGGGAGTGAATTCGGAATAAATTTTCATTTTTATCACTCAGAGTACCGAAAGTGAATAAATATAGAAAATTTTCAATCAATTTAAACAAATTTTCTATGTCAAATTTTTCTTTTCGTCAGAATTAAAAACATATTTAACGAAGTAATCATATTTTTAAAAAACGCAAATTTTAAAAATAAAAATTCAAATCTAGAAAACAATATTCAAATTTTCAAAAAAAGGTTCAAATTAAAAAAAATTGTGACTGTAAGTAATTTATAATAAAAGTTTGAGTATAGGGTGTATAAGAATTTTTTAGCAATCTACGTAATTATGGTCAAAAAGTATGATGTTGGAAAAAATTATTTATATTCTTATATTATTCTGTTACTCTATTTACTCTGCGTAATAGAAATTAAATTTTACTTCAAATTCACTCCCGAAATTTTTCCAGTCTAAAATTGCTAAAAGTAAATGTTGATTAAAATTTTCCATTTTATCATGTAGCTTCCACTGGATAAGTCCTGTTGCAACACCTGTTTTTTCCGTGTACATAATAATTTTCTTATTTAATCTTATTGAGAACTAAAATGATTAATTTTCCAAATATTTGAAAATAAACAACTTTCTCAACGAGAAATAAAATAAGGGTTCAAAGGTGGAGTGCCTCATGTATGTTAATATTTTTGTTGATATGTATTTTTAATCTGATAAATTTGATAAAATTGTCTCGATTATCACTAAAGATCTATGATACGTATATAATAAATGAAATTGTAATTACTTCTATAAATAAATTAAAAGGTTTATCGCAAAATGATTTTTTGACACCAATAATTAATAATTTGATAAAAAAAAGTAGTTCAATAGGCTATCAGGATAAAGCGATGAAGAGTAATGTTTATAATTAGAGTAGACTACTGGGGTACCTGATTCGAAGGTTGAAAACACTCATTCGTGATATGCATTACGTTCATATCTACATTAGATGCTTGTCTTGCAGTTATTATCGGTGAATATGTTATTAGAGGAAAGTGAATCCGTGGATATGGTACTAAATTAGTTTGTAATTCGTCTAATCTGACGTTAGGTGATCCTTCGAACCTCAATGATGCAGTAGCAGCTGAAACTACTTGTGATTGTAGGCGATTCAAATTTGTATATGTTGGACGTTCAACTTCTAAGTTGCTAGAAAAGATATTATAGTGTTCAATTTTGAAGTTTTTTTGCGGTTATTTTTTTTTATCCTATGAACTGAGTAACTTGTTTATTGATCTTTGACTTGACAATTAAAATTTTCTCTACATTAATTTTTTACGGAAATTTTCGACTTTGAATAAAAAAAGAGCTTTCTGTCTTTGAGAAGGTATTCTGGTCTAGAATTCTGAAAAAGTCGATTTTTCTTGATTATTCCTAAGTTCAAGGCGATAAGTCGGGTAAAAAGGCTCCAAATATTGACCAGTTTAGATAAAATGAAGATAAATACATTATTTTTTAATTTATTGGAAGAGATTATGAGCTGAAACGACTATTATGCTTTTTTACAGTTTTGAGTTAGAAACTATAATACTTTTATTTATAAAATAGATAATAATAAATATTAAATTGTAATAATTAACGTTACAGCCGATTGCTACGAATATTGACCACTACACAGAAAAAAAAGTCATCTTGACTCAAGAAAATTATTTTCTTCAAAATTTACTTCTTGTTTCAAGTTATTGTTTATTCTTGAACTAATAATGTCATATACTTATCCCAAGTAAATCTTTCTCTTGGTTTGGAAAGTAGCGCCAATGTTGGCACCGTGATTTTTTGGAACTAAACCGAGATTTTTTTAATAAAGAATTAAATTAAAAAAAATAACCTTATGCATGATTTTTATTTTTTGTGTTCATTTAATTAGTCATTTTTGATTAATTTTTAATTGCTGATTTCCCATTATATTACTGATTTACAGTTAAGTGTGTAATGACGAAAATATTTGTATATACAAGTATTTGCTCGACTCATACAAAGTACACGGTTAGAAATTTGTTGCGTTAATAACTCAATAAATATAAGTAATATCGACAATCAGAAAAAAGATCCTTAAAGAGGAGGAAATTTCTACAGGAGGAAAAAGCCTACTTGGGCCTCGATGCGCCCGTGTGTACTTCAAGCAAGTTCAAAAACCAAGAGAATGATTTACTTGGATTAAGAGGTTTTATTTCTTCACTTAAGTTGGTAAGCATGTTGGAACTAGGGAATATTTGCTTAAACCAAGATTGACCAAAACAAGAAAAAAATTTACTTAAGGTTGCACGGACAGTACCCCGTAAGTCATAGTAGAATCTAAATTTTTTTTTCATTAAACTTAAAAATTTAAATACGAAAATTCATTACTATAATTTAATCGTTACCTTACATTATTATTAAATAAAATAATTTAATAATTTAATTAACAACAACAATAAATAGTCAACATTTGACTCAAGTATTTTTTCACAAAACTTGGACCTGACAACACCGTACTTAAATTAACAGCTGTTTATATTTATCTCACTGTGTAGTGTTGAGTTGAAAAACATAACCCCTAAAAATACACAGGAATTACTAAAATTCAAAATTCGCGCGTTCTATTCTGTGCAACGTTGCCACACTGCGCTGAATCACGTGGTTTGTTTATTTTTAAATATGTCGGCCTGAAATTTTTGTGAATTTCTCATCTTTTGCATTAAAATATCTTTAGAAGCCTTCGGCAGAAAATTTTCATTTTATTTTTAACGTATTCTACGAAAGTTGATTGACTGAAATAGAAGTTTTTTGTTTTTAAATCTTCCTATGAGGCAGTCACATAAATCGATATATGTGCAATCCGCCAATAGTCTCTATAGGCTACATGTTAAATTTCAATTTTTTAATAATTTATTAAAGGATAACCCTTCGACAGATCTATTCAAAAAAATTAATTTAGACGTATGAGATAGCAATTCATAACATATCAAAAAATTAGCTTCTGATCTTCAAAAGTGCATTAGTGTCCGTACAACCTTAACTCAAGAAAATATTTTATCTTCAGTTGAATATACTTGGATCAAGTAAATATTACTTGACTCAAGATGACTTTTTTTTCTGTGTACTTACTAAATACTGGCCGCCTGTGTTCCAAATACTAACCAGTAATATTATGCTTATTAAACTAATAAATAAATTTTATTGTTAATCTATAATAGTTTTGACATTAGGTAATCTATTCACTAACATGTTAATAATTTCAGTACTGTTGTTAGTTGTTCTGTATTCAGATACAATATTATCTTTAGTACTCATATCGCGTTACAAATGCCATAAGGGCGTACCAAAAAATTTTTTTCGGGAATCGAAGTAGTTATGCCTAAAACAGGCAGTAATGCAAAAAAAATTTTGGTACGCCCTTATGGCACCCGGGGTACCAACTGAGGACCATAAGGGCGTACAAAAAAAAATTTCAAATTTAAAAAAAATTTTTTTTCGTCATTTCTACGCGTTTCAAATAAAAATACGTTGTTTCCCGAAAAAAAAATTTTTGGGTACGCCCTTATGGCTTCCGGTAGGTACCCTGGGTGCCATAAGGGCGTACCAAAATTTTTTTTTGCATTTCTGCCCGTTTCAGGCATAACTACGTCATTTCCCAGAAAAAAATTTTTTATACGCCCTTATGGCTTTTCAAGGGTATTTTTTTTCGAGATACGCCCTTATGGCATCAGTAACACGATTTATTGAAATGAATAGCCAAAGTCATACTAATATTAGGTACATTGGATAATTTACAACACCAATTGTTGGCCAGAGTATTATTTCAATTATTAACATTTTTTTAACAAGAATTATTGATAATTAATCTTTGATATTCAATTGCTTCGACAAGTATCCACTCATTGATTCTGAAGTATTTAATTTTATGACCAATTTTCACAACTTTTTGACATTTGTACACAAACTTATTTCATTTTTTATTGTAACAACTGCATATCGCGACCCAAATGCCAAAAAGGTGTAGGTATTACAGCAGCTAGATACCTCATGCCAAAAGGACGTATAAAAAAACTTTCAATTTTGCTCTGAAATATAAAATTTATCTCTATAGAGTTATTATATATAATAAAATTTAACGCCATTTTGGCTTTGGAAATTTATTTTTTTATTTTTAGGCTTAGAAAGTGTTGATAAAGCAATGAGTAAAAAAAAAAAAAAATTATACGTCTTTTGGCACTGCAAAGCCAAAAGGGCGTATAAATTAATATGCGCCCTTTTGGCATTTGGGTTGCGATATGTTTGTGTGCATGCGCAAGTTTTTATTTAAAGTATAATTAAGAATTAATAATTACGTACTAAATATAAAATTAAATTACTAGATTTAAAAAAATTATGTTGTCATGCTGCTTGGTCAATATTTAGATACTGACCAATATTTGGTTCCTTTACCCTACAAATTTTTATAAGAATTTTTGGAAATTCCAATTATTTCAAGAGATATCATTACTCTAATGACGTAACATCTAACTGCTCTGGGTTTAGCTATAAAAATTTGGGAAAAATTATAAGCAATAACGCCCATTTATACTTTAATGATAATGATAAGCAAAATGAATAGCTGCAGCATATGCTGATTAAAAGTTATTATTAATTGTTAAATTCGTACTTGGAGCAGATATCATAGAGTGCCTCATTATCAACAATAAAACAACAATCTTCATAATCAACAGTTCCATGTGTTGTTAATAAAGCATTGTAAGGCTCGACTACAGACGTTGAAATATGTGGAGCTGGATAAATCGAAAAATCTAATTTTGTTAATTTATCATAATCTTGTTTTATGTTTTCTAGTAATAATGTAGTAAATCCACTTCCTGTGCCACCACCAAACGATCTAAAATTTTCAAAATTAATATTTAATCCATAAGCATGTAACAATACAATGAAAAATTAATTTGTCACCGAAAAATAATAAATCCTATTAATTTAGAGCAATCTTCACACACACGACGAATGCGGTCTATAACAACATCAATAATATCATGGCCAACATTGCAATAACCACGTGCAAAATTGTTAGCTGCGTCTTCTTTTCCAGTTATTAATAATGTTGGATCAAACAGAGATTTGTAACAACCAGTACGCACTTCATCAATTACTGTTGGCTCTAAATCGATCATCATTGAACGCGGTGTTAATTTACATACCTATAATAACAATAATTATAATTGATTTTTTTTTAAATATGAAGCTATGTATGAGCTCGTTTAAATAAAACATTTGCAATATTAACTTGAGATGGGGAAAAAAATGTCTGATATGAGTTGTCATCAGTGTCATAACCTTGAACCACGAAACCATCTGGTTTTATGCCATGCTCGAGACAAAAAAGTTCCCAACACGCGTTGCCCACTTGGACTCCAGATTGTCCCACAAAAATCGTCAGAATTTCACCTTCTGTGTTGCTCATGTTGAATTATGCACTTGATTCACCTCACACTTATTATATATGTCAATAGGTTAAGGAGCTTGGAAGAAATTCAGAAATTTTTTCGTTCCGATTAATGAAAATGAGTTTGATTTTTTTTAATTTTTTAATTTGCTTCACTAAAAATTTTGATTTTATTTTTCAAGGCCTAAAATTGATACATTTTATTTTCTGTTTTTTTTTTTTTGTCTTTTTATAGGTTTAGGACATTTTATTGTTATTTATGGATTTATTCAACTGTTTTAAAAATATTACTTAATCGAGATAAAAAGCGATTACAAATCGCTTTACTAATACCAAAGGGCGTATCTCAAATTATACTCTATTTTAGCTCTGCAGAGCCAAAAGGGCGGATAAAAGAAATTTTTTTTCGAAACAACCCAAAAGGGCGTATTTATATAATCAAATAGGTTTTCTGTCGAAGGTTTTCAATACTACCCCTGATAAAAAAAAAATTAGATATTACGCATATTAGTCCGAATTTGAATTTTTTGGCTAAGTAATTTTTTGAAATACAAGAAAATAAAAAAGACCATTCGGCAGCCGAAATTGAAGTAGATTTCATCATGAATAGAAAAAAAATATAACGAGGATTGTATACAAAACTAGAGTTTCTAACTTCTATGCAATCGACAAAAATATATATCAACGGAAAAATTTTAAAACCAGTGCAATAGCAAATTTCATAATTGGCATAGCGGAAATAGGACATAATTTTAAGACTACACATATGATATGGTACTCAAATTGAAGCTTATTTAAAGAGCTTTCAGATGTGATTTACAGAGATTCAATAAGTTATACCATTCCAAAGTTATTCGGTTTAAAAAGTGAAAAAATATGAATTTTTATAATTTTGAAAATTTTGACATCTTGGCATTTCTAAAAAATTTTACGACTACACATATAATATGGTACTTAAATTGAAGCTTATTTAAAGAGCTTTCAAATACATTTTACAGAATTTCAATAGGTTATCCCATTTAAAAGTTATTCAAGTAAGGAAGTGAAGAAATATGAATTTTTGTGATTTTCAAAATTTTGAAATCCTGGTAATTCTAAATTACTTGACCGATTAAGCTCATCTTCGAACTTGACCTCGGTATCTATCTGGAGAGGAACTTCTTAATGTGAGTGTATAGAATATGTGAGAAAAAATTATTAGATAGCTCGGACTGGGATTCGAACCCAGAACCTTCTGAAGATATGTCGGCTACTCTACCATTTGAGCTATCCAATCTATACTAAATTTCCTTTCACTTATTCTATATACATTAAGCCACACCGTCCATCTTACGGCTAGCATTTTAAACTACATATATAAACTTTTGAACCATATGCATTTTCCGACTCAGCTCGACGAGTATAGTCGAAATATAGCAAAATTTTTTAAAAGTTCCGTCATGAGGACCAATGCAATAGTTAGATTTCTATGAAATCTACTAAAAACTAATATCAATGTATATACCCTCGCGGTTTTGAGAATGTCGTAAAAATACCGTAATTTTTCGGCATTTATGCTCATGCCGTATATTTACCGTAATAATACGGTTAAACTATAGTTGTTTTGGCCAGTTTTTATACTGTAAATATCCTGTAAATATATACTGCACTTATGCTGTACAGTTACCAAAAATATACTATACAATTACCGCATTAATGCCCAAATTTTACCCAAAAAATTCCAAATAATTACCGTAATAATACAGTAATTTTGCTGAATATTTTCTGACATAATGGAAAATTATTAAAAATTTGGTTTTATTTTTAGTTCACTTCTATGTTAGAAATGAATAAAATGAAAAATTTCCAATTTTGCTTTTTATTCTCCACCGTTATTTTGCAAAAACAAATACTGTTTTTGAATAAATACTATGTAGAATATTATTTTTCAATTAGGTATTTAGCGGTAATGAATATTAAAAAATACATATGTTAAGTAAATATATTCTAATTTCAATTTCAATTTTTAATTTCTCACTTAGAAAATTGCAAATTTTCTAAAATCAAAAAGTTACATTGTTTCACATATATAACTATATTATTTAATTTTAAATATGCTTATTGTAAGATGGACGGTATGGCTTAATGTATATAGAATAAGCAAAAAAAATTATGGTACAGGCCGGGTAGCTCAAATGGTAGAGTAGCCGACTTTTCCTCGGGAGGTTCTGAGTTCGAATCTCAGTCTGAGCTTTATTTAATTTTACACCATTTTTTAAATATAGTTTTAATACAGTCATTTTACCGCCTTATTACCATAAATTTGCCGCATTGTTATTGTAAATATTTCGCATTTTTACGGTAAATGTTCCGTAATATTTCGATGAAAAAACTGACCAAAACAACCGAAAAAATGCTGAAAAAATACCGCATTAATAGTGTATAACTGCGACATTTTTTCGGCATTTACAAAACCGCTAGGGTAGGATTTCAATGAAGATTATTTTATTGATCCATCGAACAGAGGTAAGGAATATATTGAGGCTATAATTGTTTTTCAAATAGCTTAATTCGTTATTAAATTACATGAATTATATCCCATTTGTTCTTTCTATTATTTTTTATAAGTTTGGAAACTGTACAATCTCTATTGACCGAATAATAATAACTGATCCATTAATGCTCATTATAAAATAATAGATTTTCAAATATGTAGAGATAACTATCTCTATTGCTGACTATAGTTACCGCGTCCGGAATCATCGAAAGACAGGAATGTATAAACTGCAACTTGTATCAGTGATATGATCACTACATTGGCAATTAATTTAAATGTTAATTTTTTAACCATATTTTTATTGTTATTTACTTGAGTTCACCTGAGTAATTAAATAATAAATATTTGTTAACTATCGCTGCAATGTAGAAATTGGTAATTTTATAAAATTTTGGAACGTTATATAACGTTAGCTAGATTTTCGAAAAGTCGAATTTTCGATGGATACAATAATTTTGTAACTTTATTTTATAATAAAAAAATAATTTTTCGATCAATCAGAAATTTCCGAGAGAAGGTGCAACAAAATCAAGAAAAAAAAAATAAGGATAAAATAAAAATCATTTTTTGACTCTCTTAAGGAACTTATCTGGCATTGGTAAGTTTCAAAGGTAGCTTGCATAAAGTTAATAATTTATTTTATTTTTGTAATTTTCAGGAATAAAATGTATTGATATGATCTATTTTAATCGTAACTGAATTTGGTGATCGATAAAAAAGCCTTATAGTTCAAATGTAAGTCTCTTATTATCGAATAACTGCAATTTAAGCGCAATTCAAAGTAATATGTTTATTACTTTGTAAGAAAAATACAAAATAGCAGTAATTTACAATCTAATAATAAATTAGGGCGAATCAATAAATTAAATGAGCATTGATGATACCAACTCTTAAAACGATTGCACAGCTGATGAATGTGTTTACTACGGCATTATCAAGTTTAGAATTCACGGTAAGATTCCACTATTTAAAACGCGTATTTTAATTTAAGGTCGGCACGTTTAAATTAATCCTGCAGCATGCATCGTGTAGTATTATTGTAAATTATAGTTGATCTAATAATTAATGTCAATTTATTAATAAACTGTGTCGTGCTTTCATTATCTATTTGTCAATATTTAATAATACGCACTTTAGATGCATATGTTAACAGAAAAAAATGAGGAAAAATTTTTTTAACTGTAAAGCTATCAACTATGATTCATTATTAATGACAGTAATTGGTATTTCTACACACACAGGAATGTTAAAAATTTATCTTTAATTCACGATTTATCATGTTTTTTTTTTTTTTTTTTTTTTTTTTTTTTTTTTTAATTATAACATCGTATCTTTTCATTTCCGGAACACTTTCTAATTTTAATATTTGGCAAAAAAAAAAAACATTTTTTGAAAATTGAAAAAACTCGAATTTTTTTTTGGTTTTCTCAAAATCTACCGTGTGAATTCGGTCTCAATTCACAAAAATCCAAACAAACCGCAAACCGCTTTTCGATCGGATACTGCGTTACAAAGTTATAATATGTTTACACACACACACACACACACACACACACACACACACACACACACACACACACACACACACACACACACACACACACACACACACACACACACACACCCTTAAAATTATTGATTTAATCGTTAAAAATTAAGCCAAAAAAATTTTTTAATCAAAAATAAAATTTCTCAAAATCTATCGAACCAAATCATTTTAAATTCTCCAGAAATTTATGTTCCGTAGAACGCTTTGAAATGCCACAAATCGCTTTTAACTATTCAAACTGTTGAAAACTTATGGCATACACACATAATGACATCATCGTAAAAATAGTCAGAATAGCTTGCTAGGATCTCAAGGCATGAAGATCTGGTGAGAACTCAATTTACGAAAATTGGAGTAAAACCAATATTTTTTTAAAAATCATTGATATGAATATATTGCGGGAAGTTTAAAAATAAAAGAAAAAATGATTTTTAAATTCGTCATAATTTTTAAACGTGATAAATAACATTATCTCGCATTTTTGTGAATTTAATTATGACATATACATTTAATTAAACATCCTTTTTATTGAACGATAAAGTTTTGAATAATGCAATTGAAAAATTGTTTTTTGATAATTTATAGACCGAATTGAAACTTATCCATTTATTATCTACACAGAAAAAAAATTAACTTGAGTCAAGTAAATAATTTTGAAGAACTTCAATTTCTCGATTTGAATAAAAAAATTTTCGATCTGAGAAATTTTTTTTTATTTAAGTAATTTTGACTTGATTCAAGAATTTTTCGCGTTGTTTCAAGAGAATAAATCGCTTCAAAATTATTTTCTTGGTTCAAGAATTTTTCTTCTGATTCAAGTTAATTTTTTTTTTTCAGTGTAAATTTGAACAATTAAATTAAAAACTTCAAAATACAGTACAACCTGGTTATAGGTTATATTTTTTTCTCTCTTCTACTTACATGAAATATTTC